GGCCAGGTGGGAGAGGGGGTCGGTGGAGGCAGGGCGGGGCAGGGGCAGCACTGACCTGTTGACGGCACAGGCCCCCACCTGCCGGGGGGTTCGCACACTGGTCCGCGCCCGGCCGGAGCCACCACACAACAAGACGCGCGTCCGTCAGGCCAGGGGCCCAGGAACGTCAGAGCCGCCCGAGTGTCGAGTCCAGCGCGCGCGAGGGTGCCGACGACCGGCCGAGGGACGCATCGCGAGCGCGTGAGCAGGTGCGGGAGTCACCCCGGGGAAGGTCCACGCCGTCGTCCGGGACAGCGGGTGCCGCGGCCACCCGCGCAGCGCGCCTCAGGGCGCGAACAGCAGCAGCAGCAGCGCGTCGTAAGGCGCATACGGCTGCACGCAACCGCCCGCGGGGCGTCGCAGATCCCCCCGGTGGACGTGTTCGTCAACCCCGACACAGGTGAGTGAATATGGGACCGCGACAGGCTTGCAGCGTCGTGGGGCGGTGCACCGGTGCACCTCCTCAAGGCGCTCCTGCCATTCCAGGCGCTTTGGAGAAAAACGCGGGTGGTGGTGCAGACAGCACGAGCAGAGAGGGTCATCGGGTACTTCTTGCTTTTCTCCCATCACGATCGGTGTCTCATTTATCAGAAACAGGGAAACAACTAGTTGTGGAGTCGAGGAGGTGGTTTTGGACGTTTTTTTTGGCGAAACCATCGCACGCAGGCAGCCTCGGGGCGCCACGCCCGTGGAGCCGAATCTTGAACCTGAATCGCAAACCCGAGTCGTTATCTCGTTCAAAAGACGCGCCTCCTCTCGGTCTGGCCTTGATCTTTATTCCAAAAGCGACTTCAATTTATTGTCATGCTTATGGAATCAAGTCGGTATGTTTCTTTTTCCCTATTCTCTCATTTCGCGTACGCAAGGCGCTGCTGGGCGTCAATTTATTTGTTTTTATTTATGATTGCGGCTGTTTTCATAGCCGTTATAACGAAGCCGCGGAAAACGCAAAGTCTGTAGCATCCTTTAGGTAAACGAAATGGTGCGTGCTATGTATAAAATTTCCACCCGAACGCTCTTAAGCCAAATCCGATCAAATCTCTAAGCGTTCATAATTCACTATGACAGCAACACTTAAAAAAATAAATAATCACGCTTACAAATCTGTTCCGCCTAGCAAAGCGAATAAGCCAAAGTCAGATCCGTACAGAAGGTACCTGAACTCTTAACTCATGGAGGAGATTTTGCCACCCGCAAAACACTAGTCTGCGACCGGGATGCGATTTTGGCGCGCTTCGGGAAGATGCCAGCGTAGAAGTGGCACTTTTGGGGAAGTTCCAAGATGGGGCGGCGGGGTTGGGTCAAAGGTTACTTAAAAAAAAACCTCAAAAAACAGAAGGAAAAAACATTTTAAAAAATCAAGAAAAAAATCAGGAAAAACTGAAAATATGATGTACGCTTGAATAGAAAGAGTTAAGTACCCCTCGGGGTGGGTGGACCGATGCGGTGGGGCTGAGCCCCAAAGATTACCACCGACCGCCATAGGCCCATGCCAGGGGAAGAGGAGAGGTCTGGTCGCAGGCCCTCCTACCCAACTCGTCCGGCGCGCGGGTCGGCCGCGAGCGCCGCGAGGCACCTACCACGGAGCACCACACGGCGACGGCACGGCGCGGGCACGCGTCTGCCGGGGCGCGGCGCGGGCGCGCTCCTCGGACCACAAATCACTGTCAGGGGATGGAAATGGGCAAAACGGCACCTCCACGGCGGCAATTTGCTCGCGGACGCCCCCCCCCCTTCCGTCCGTCGGCGTGCGTGCGGCGGTATTTGGCCGCGCTGGCGCTGGCGGCGACGGCGGCGGCAACAGCATCAGGAGGCGGCGGGATCCTTGCAAAAAGGGCCGTTTGCCGGCGGGGCGTGGCGCGACGGGGAGGGGCGGGACGGCAACCTGTTTGGCGGGTATGGTCGGACTCAAGTCCAAGACCATGGCAACTGTCCCGTCATAGGGACCCCCCCTACACTCGCGGCTCCAGGGGGGCACGCCCATGCCCGCGCGCCCTGCGTCAGGTTACCAGTTACCACGCGCGCGCGCAAGCATCTCCGATCGAGCCGAACCGCCGCCCTCCGGCAGTTTATATTCGCCTACTAATAACGTTTTAGTTTTATTTTTTGCTCCTCCCCTGCTGTGTCGTCTACAAATGTTGCTGCCCGCGAATCGCTTATCGCCATCTCCGTGTTTCATCGCCGCGCAGCCTCCCAACAGCGAGCTGATCTGACGGGTGGTCCTCGCCCCGCCGCGCCCCGCCAGGTCCATATGGGCGGCCCCCGGGCCCACACCGGCCGCACCCGACCCGCTCCAGCTTCTTCATCTTGTTATTATGATTCTGATCCGCAAGTGCGACGGCCAACGGGCGCGGCGGCGGGGCGGGGCGGGGCGGGGCGCGTCCGAGCTTGCAGACCGGGGAGTTTGACTCTGAAAACCTGCTACCGCTAGCTACGCCACGCCACACCCTTCTTTAGCGGGTGGGCCCGAGAGAGGGACACTAAAGATCCAGTCAAAGCTAGACAAGAGTTTTGACATTGTTTCTGCCGTTAGCAGGCGCTAGAGCTCGCTCGCCTTTCGCCAAAAGTTTACAAAAATGCAACAACTAACCACTAGTCGTCCCAAAGGCGACGTCAGCGCGAGCTCGTCAGCCAACTGCCCCACCTCGGCTCCCAATGATACGGCTCCCTCTACTTTTATATTGCGTTTATCTGGGCCGGGTTACGTGGCTCTCGGGCCGGGTGACCACCACGGTGACCACCCGCCCGCGCGCGTCTGCGGTTCGGCTGGCTTGGCGCGCGCGCGGCCTCACCTGCTAATCCGCTGCCGCTGCTGCAGCTGCTGACACAAAATCGCATTTGCGCGATCTCCCCGCAGCAGCGGGGTGACGATGCGGGGAGGCGGCCGCGAACGCGTAACGCTACGCTAAAGTAGGGATCAGGCACGTAGCAGCACCCGCCCTAGAAAAGGAAAAGGGGGTATAAATGTCATGATCGCCTCAGAAGATCCCGGACCACCATAATAGGGACTCATCAGGGGACCCCGTGATATTTCTACCCCGGGGGTATCAATACCATGGGGTAAGTTCCTATATTGTAGTCTCTGAGGGAGCCATGATATTTGTACCCCCATGTGCACAACCCCTAAGCCCGCACCGGGGGATGTATGGGTGCACCAGAGGATGGGCCCGGTGTAGGACCATGAATGTACCCCCACCATGAATGTACCCCCTTCCTCTGGGGGGTACGTTCATGGTGGGGGTAGACTCTTAGCTCTGCACCTGCTCTGCACCGCCACGCTGTCCGCGCGGGGGCGGCGCCGATGCGGACCGCGCGGTGCCGGCGGCCTTGGAGGTCGAGGTTGTCGGCCGGGGCGCGGCGCCAAAGGCCTTCACATTGACACTGGCTGCTGGCGGCGCCCCTCCCCCCCTTTCCCTGCCACCGCTCACACAACTTGGTCGCGCACTGACTTCATGTCTCGCACAGACATCCTTCCCTCACTCACGTCTTCACTTTTATTTCTTCCGGTGGGCGTGATGCGCCCGCGTTAATGTTAATATTTGTAACGTGAGGCTTAGCACGGATCTCGACTTCTGGGCTGAACGGCGTTATTAACACGTCCAGTACGGCGTGACCAGTATGTGGTCACGCTGCTGGGTTTTCCAACCCCTAAGATGCAGAGCAGCACTGAAAGTGTTAAGTGACCCGCTCTGACCCGCTCCCCGAAAAGTCTGCATAGTACTATGCCTTTTCGCATGCCACAGCAGCCTTAATAGCCGTGTTTCTTGAGGACGTCACAGCCGGTTGTGGGAGAGGGCGAGCGGGGAGGCGGGTCTCGGAGAACGGCGACTGGGAGGGGGGTATTTAAATCAATGGCGGGAAAAATTATTTCATCCTCTTCGCCTAAAATTGCTTGCACGCACCAGGTAATCGGTCGGAAGGATTTCGAAGGGGAGAAGGGTGGAGGGAGGGGAAGGGACAGGGGTGGGGGGGAAAAGCCGCTTACACATACATGAAACGGCAAACCATCGCATAACTCAATGTTGATGCCGGGCACGCCAGAGAGCACAGACAGCTAACCCGCGTGCCTTTCTTCAGGGAAATTTATTTTTCTCTGTAAAATGGCGACCTTCTGCCCCATCGGGGTGGCTACGAGCGAGCCCTATGAAGGTACCTTAACGCGGGTGAAACTTGAGTGAACCTTTCGAAAACCCACAACCCTCGGGGCGGAACCGGCGGAACCCGAGGAGAGGCCTCGCAGCCGTGACCGCCGGAGCTGGAAAGATACCGACACCAGAAACTTTAACCTGCGGGCGGCTGGCCGGGTCCCAATATATCACACGCAGGTCCACTTCTGCAGATCGCACGACTTCACTCTTGGCGAGATAAGGCTATACAGAGTGCTTGGCGCTCACTTCACTTCCCGCTATCTCCCCCGTACCCTTACCGCTGCTACTGATGCTGTGGCTGTGTGTTTTTTTTCTACGACACATTAACACCTCTTTTGGCGTTTTTGTAACAGACCAGTCTTAGAGTGATAGAGCCCCACCCACAAGTTCAGTGAGGTGCTGTATTTGCGTTTTGCAGACCACCCTTACTAGTCCCCACTCGGACCGTGCAGAGTCCATACAGGATCTCGCGAGAGTTTGGTTTTGCGGCTCCTGTGGGCGCCACGAGTCCTTGCGAATATGCCCACCTGCCACCTGCAGCTGCTGGTGCTGGAGTTGGGCCCGTCGTCCTACGGGTCGCCCGCCTCCCGAAAAAAAACAACTTCATGTGGTCCATCCATGTGCATTTGAATGGGATTGAATGAATGACAGGTCCCCCCCCCACCCCCCGTCCTTGCGGCGTCCTCTGTCCCCTCGCCATCGCCCCCCGCGGCTCCGCGAGTCCCCGCCCTGCTGCACCGCGTCACCCAGGTCTCCCACGCCCCACCCAGGGGCCCCCAGCGACTGCAGGAAGCGGGGAGAGAAAAATAGAGAGGATATCTATCCAAACCGCAATTGCAACCTTATTCGATTTGGGCGCCGTGGCCGCCCGGCTGCCCCCCCCCCCTCCCTTTTTCCTCTTTACTTCCCCGCCCCGGTCCCATGCCTCGTTGTGACGAGCAGCTCTAAACCACCCTGCTTTTAAGCACACCGGTGGCAATTTAAAAATAAAAATAAATTAAACGGGTTACAAAAACGAAACATTGAAACGACTCCTCGTTGTTTCGAAAAGAAATGCTGAAGGAGGAAGAGACAGGGGGTACTTTTGTTTTACCCTCCCAATTCTAAGCAGCCCCGTCGCCCTGCCGCTAATGGTAAGGAGTTAATTGTCAGTCGAGCAGCAGCGCAGCTTCGTGAGGAATGTGATTTATTTATTGCTCAATTGCATTCTTCTTCTTCTTTCGTTTGAAGCAAAAAAAAAAAAAGAGAAACA